GGTGGTCGAGTAGATCATGTTGTGCGGGGTCGAGAACCCTCCCTCCGCGCAAGGGGGATGATCGCACCACGTTGTGTTAAAATGGTCAAGCATCCTCGAGGCAGTTACACAGTGCTAACAACTGTCTCTGGAAGTCAAAGCACCAGAAAATAAATTAAGTCATAAGCAGCTGTCATCCGTACGCAAGGAAGTAAGCACAAGATGCCGAACACCCTTAGCAGGATGCAGCTCACCCTTCATGCGACTCGCCGAATACCTCACAGCGCTTCGCGCTTGGTGATGTGAGAGCCTGGTCCGGTGAGAACCCGGCGTGCTCCGTCCCGGCTTTGTAGGGATGCGAGGTCAATGGTCTAACGACTACGGCACGCACGACTATGAGTACCCCCCCTCCCCCCCCCCCCCTCTCTCTCTCTTCTCTCGACGCCTTGTCAGTGGTAATGCAGCTGGCCTGGATGCTCCATCTTCCTTATTCATGGCGCCCGATACGCACAAGAAATCTTGGCTACCCCTCTCCCCCTTCCCCCGTGACTCACTTTTGTTGCAAATCGATGTCGAAGTCCGCGAAATAGTCGTCCACGGATTCGCCCGCCTTCACCTTCGTCATCACTACCTGGTTTTGCAGGCAAGAGCAGGCCGCCGATAGTTCGCCATTACGAAGAAAGGAAGATTCACGATAAATAGTAACGCTTGTGGTGCTTGGGCTTAGGGGAGGAGGTAGGTGTTTCGCGTTACGCGCCGTATCACATGCTGAGGTGGGTGTAGGTGAGCTGCTGCTGCTGCTGCTGCTGCTGCATAGAGGTGCACAGCGATGTCGTAACCCTGCCTCGTGATGCGCACAGCGTACGCCATCGTACGCCAACGCACCACCGTCGTTGGTCATTCAGCAAAATACGAATGTGAGGGAAACCTCACGTTGTGCGGTCTTCATTAGCGATCACAAGCCGGTTTCCACGGTACTCAACAAACTAACTGCACCCCCGACCGCACATGGGTGCACTTATTCGTACAACGCACTAAAATACACCGGAGAAGCAAGCAGAACGGAAACGTGAACAACTTCTGCCGGCAAGTTGACAAGAGTGCGAGAGATCGACGGCAGAATGATGTCCCACGACAGTCAGGAACGCCCCGGACACGGGCAGGAAACCCTCGAACATATGTCGAGAAAAATAACAGCCCATGTACACCTAGAAAACGTGTTACAGATTCTTCACGGTCTCGCGACACGGCCACAGCACCGCTGCCGTACCCGACCTCGGGTATAATAACGGCTAGAGTGCACTCGTCCATTCTGAATGTAGTGTTATACATCCAAGGACATAGGCAGCGCTTGGACCAATAGCGCGCCTACAGTCGTTCCTTCTGTATGAAATGTTTTACATCCGAGAACACAGGCGATGCTTGACTCAATCGTGCGTCCAATGCCATATACTCGAGAATGTGCCAGCACCTGACTCAATAGCGCACAGTCCGATACCCACACATCAGTGTGGCGGCTGTACCACGGCACTCGCTACACTTCACGTTACCTTGTTCTCCCCATCGGAGAGGGGGATTTCAGCCTCCGAAAACGTCTTGCTCCTAAGCTGCACCTTGGCAGCGGCATAGGCATCCTGTCCATCCATCGTCGCAGCGACGACAACGAGCACATGCAACGAAAACGGGTTTGATTCACGACTGCGCCAAGGCAGAAGGAAGCCCGATTTTGAGGACGAGCTCTTTGCTGGGCAGTGGGGCGCGCGTAGTTTCCCGGCTCTGCTTGCTGGTAGTCCCCAAGTGGTCATCGTGCTTCTCAACAAAAGTGTACACCGAAGAAGTTTACAACGAACGCTTTGAACATCGACCCAGTGACCATGGACAACAACGTGGCCCGGAGCCCCTCCTCACGACATGCGGTACGGGGGGGTTCTTGAAAAACGAAGCGGCCATGGTTGGTCGCGACGCCAGGCACCCCCGGGGTATGAGATAGACGGCAGGTCTCCATGGCCGCGAACGTGTCTCCATTTTCCAAGGTGACCTCTCAGCATGTGACGGCCAGACAAGCATAAAATGACGTTTGATTCTGTAGTCCAGGCTCGACGCCAACATAAATCGCTTCAAGCTCTTGTAGACACGGAATACGGCCGTTAACGCAGAAGAGACCCGAGCTCCACCCGAAGGGCAATGGTAATGGCGGCGCATGTGTCAAGACGTCAGACACGGTTGCTGGTGCATCGGGATCACTCCAGCAGCAGCAGCTCGCCACAGGAGTAGAGCCGTGGTATGTAACTTGTCGGCTTTTGTCTTTCGAATCCGAGGACTGCCAACGCTGACCGCAGCCTACGCAAAAGGCAACATGGCGAAATGCAGCCACTACCAACGCGAACACGACGTGGAAAAAAATTGCGTTCGGGTCACAAAACTTCGGCATCTACACAGGGGGGGTTGTCACCCAGAAGCTGCAACTTCCGCGGACCCCCCAACGAACCTTACGGCTGAGGGGCGGGAATGCTAGCATGGTCGGGTGTTTTAGGTACCTCCAACAGCTCCGCGTCCTTCTCGCTGAAGGGCAGCCAGCCGCTGCCCTTCTCGAGGAAGTACGTCGCGCGGATGATCGGTTTCCCGGCGGGCTTCTCGTCCCAGTACAGGGCCCTCACCGTCCGCGCCTGTTGAGGATGACAAAAAATAACACGGTCCACCGATTGCGAAAAAAAAAAACGCAGAGGAGAAGGTGTTGCATGCAGAATGCGTCCGCGGACCGGGGACGGATACTACAAGACAGAACTCGAAAGCGTTAGAGCATGAAGAACACTATGGGTAGAGCACACCCGCCTCATGAAACAACACCATAACCACCGTATGCGCGAAACGGAGCCCGTCCTTTCGAGACCAGATGCTTGTTGCTTCGTAAGGACGACTCTCACAGTTCGCCACCGCATAGATAGAGATGCGCGAAGAAATCAACAACGGAAAAACTGCCAGCGTCTGGCAAACGTCCAAGCAAACATTAGTGCTGGGAAGCAACCGCTGCGGGCGGCACACAGTGTCCACTGCTGCGCCAAACCCTGCTGCTGCTTGAGGAACCGGTCCTTGGAACAGGCAGCGAGCGGCACACGAAACAGCATCAACCGGATCCTGCCGTGCAATTTGCTGCCACGCTTCGATAGATAAATAAATGTCGCGCTCCCCCGCACCTTCATATCGACGACGTATTTTCTGCCGTAGACCAAGACTTCGGCATCCCCCCTGTGGTGGGCCTCTTCCAGCCTGGCGCAGTCGCTTGCCCACATGGTTTTCCAGTGCCCTGGAGTCTTGGGGGCCCCGTGACCTTCGGGCTCCTGAAAACGGGGGTATATCGGGGTGGCGTTTACAGACGCACGGCAGTGGCGCTGGCAAGCCCTGCTTGCGTGTCCATCGATACGTGCCTCAGGCAGCAGCGCAGCAACTGCGGCGGCGCTGACTGTAGCCCTGCTGTAAGCCCATCGGCACGCGCCTCAGGCAGCAGCGCAGCAACTGCATTGAGCGTGATGACAGCCAGGATACGCCCCGACCAATGGAGAGGAGACTGCACAGCCCGAATGCATGCGAGCAAAGGAATTTACGAGTTTTTGACCTTCGTTCTCACAGAAGGCGGGGAAACGAAGGATGACCACCTAACTGCTGTCTTGTCGAGCCTGTTACCCACAGGGGAGATATCGCTGTATGCTGCTACGGGAACCGTAGAAATGTAAGCTGGTCACCGCCGTACAACACTATTAATCCATTGCTGATTTCCCACGGACTCTTATCGATGGAAGACATGGAATTGTTGTGGTCTTCGTTCTTTGTAGCTAAGAACACAGAGCCGGACGATCGGAGAATCGTGTTGAAAGCTTGTGCAAGCGAAATCGTTGAGTGGGTGGGGGCGGGGGGGGCACGTGATGCCGCGTTTACTTTCGATGTCTTTGCCAAGCACCTCAGTCACCGCTGATGGCAGTACTGGTATGACTCCGGCTTCCATACTAACTTGAACCGTTTCGGGTGTACGATGGTCCCACGATAGCCCCTCAACACAGAAACGCAGTTGTGCACGTCCTTCGTCGATTGGTGCCTTGTATATAGGGCGAGATACAGCTGGTGGGGTATTTAGACACTAGTATTATTATAATCCCCAACCGGTGGGGGATTCTACAAAATACTAGATACCCCACCGGGCAACCGGGGGTTGCATGTACAGTACACGCCGACTACTAATACCCCTGGAATATACGGTTGCCTTCGACGATACAACGCAAGACCACGGCATCTCAAGCCACCGAGCCCTTCACAGAGGGTTGTGTACCCATTCACCTTGAGGTATCGTTCGTGCCTCATGTGCCGCTTGGGGAGAACCTACACCTCTATACGTAGGGTTTCCCCGATGCGGAACAACTTCGGCAAATGGCCTTTGTCCAGTTTCCAGCTCAACATTCAACATGCCAACACAGACAATAGTACCGCGGTAACCAAGCATCTCTCCCGAGGAATACGTGTGAATGGCAGGGAAGCCAAAACAGGACGAGAGGCGATGTCTTCAGCTATACGTGCCAAGGTTGCAGATATGTCGGCAGCAACACCGATCTACATAAGTTTAGGCTGCAAAGTTGATCGCCGCCCAGCTGTGGGCTCATCCAAAGAAGCAGCGCGTGTGTTTCCCTTCTCGCTTGTAGTACGTGAACACTCAGTTCACAGCACAAGGCCAAAGCCGCCTCAACTACTACAGTCGAAAGCACATCAACGGAGGGGGGAGGTGCAGCAGCAACCATGGAACGGACATGTGCGCAGCGGAAGGCAAAAAAGGAACGAAATCAACGACACATCTCGCCGTTGCAAGCATCGTCTGCCAATGTCCCGATTCTTTCTTGCGCTAAATTCGCGAATTCGCACTAGATTTTTTTTTACCTGCACAAGCCATGATGGTGTTGGACTGTCTCTGGAGATAGACATCGCTCCGCAGCAGTTGGCGCTCCTGCTACAGCGAGAGAGCGTGGTCAACAGGTCAGTCACGAACCCAGTTGCAGAGTTGCAACCCAGGGGGCGACGCACGTGCAGGTGTCATTCCTAGTCGCGTCGCCGCCAATTGCGCCGCCTTTTCTGTCAACCGACCGTTGCACCGTTGCACCGTTGCATGTGAAGTATCATTTTGCCTGTCTGCTGTTCGCTGATGTAATGATATTGGCTTGCCGAAGCCACGCCCCGGTGTGTGGTGCCGTGTGTTGAACATTACTGCTGCTAACTTCTTTTTTTTGAGCTGAAGTGCGAAAGCGGAGCTCTGGCCCTTCTCTCCGTCAAGGTTCGACAATGAGTATTGCATATCTTGGTCATCATGTGGTTTTGTCCGGGTGTCGAGACTCGGAAGCGGTCACATTATGTTAAGTCATGATCAAACCTGTCTCACGCGCCGCCCACCGTCATGGACATCGGTGGCCGTCGTTTGTTTTGTAGGGTTGGATGTTGGCTGCTGGTTGTCATCGATAGCGTTGGTCGCCGCAGTACAGATTGATGCATCCAACAAGGCACTGCTGCTGTTGGCGCAACATCTTGCGGCGTACCATTTGTCTACACAATATAGAAGCACATCCGGACACAGCGGTTCAATGTATCGGCGTAGTTTAGCGTAGAGGGGCTATCATGTGTGTGTGGGAGTCAGCCTTCGATCGTTGCTGGCGAGAGGCAGAACGCTAATGTGCTTGCTGTAAGCACCATAGACCCCGACTCTCCAAGACGAAATAATAGCCTCGTCAAATGACCCCTCGATTATTGAGAGGGCATTTTGATAGGGATTATACTTGTAGACAGCAACGGGCAGGAGCATGGTAAACCAGGGCAGATGTTGGCACCACTTTGGGTTGTGGATACGCGTACAGCAGTGTGTCTGACGCGGACTCTCTTCCCCCCTCCCCCGCCGCGCTCAAACCGCCGCAGCTTGCACAAACGCGTATGTGACTACGGGGACCCCACCTGCCTAGGGAATCCTACCGCGTACTGGGGAATCCGTTGAGACTTGAGCTGCGTGTATTGCGTGTGCGAGGATGGGTGGGCGGGCATGGATTGCCGGCGCTGCCTTGACGTCTCTGTGTGCCCGAGCAGCACGGTCAATGGGCTGGTGACCACGCACTCGAGTTTAGTTTTTTTTCGGAGGGGGGGGGGTCGTGCTGTGGGAGTTGGAAAACGAAACAGCCGTAGGAAGCCTTAAACTGTTGATGTATTCCGCCGGTTGATGATTTTTTTCGTTGGAACGCCGCGACAATCCTAACGTTCAAGGGACATCGGAACCGGGATACTTGTCGGGAGTTTTATACATCTATCCTGAAGATGCCGAGCGCATGTACATCGGGCCGTTGCACGAAGAGACTCCTGATGCAGTCTCTTTCTGGACAACCCCAACAGCACTACCCCCCCCCTCCCCCCCACCAGCCACGAAGCCACCCGACATATCCAGAAGTACAGAATAATCCCTCTTATGAACGGGCCCACGACCCAGACTTAATATCGCATCCACCCTGCAGTCGAGACTATCAAGGCTGTTGCAGCGACGGACTGCAGCGCCAACAGTCTTCTCCCTACCGAGGAGGAAGTTCGATCGGAGGCCGGGAAGATACTCTAGTGCTCCTGCGGCGGAGGGGATGACGGGTGGACCGACTTCATGTGCCGTCAACAGCCAGACACGTGGATACAGTTGGCGGTGACGGGCGGGGGTACGGAGGAGGACCCGGCATTTGTGGTCGTAATAGGTGTTGTTATGCGTGGTTTTGCCATGCTGTTGGTGGATACTGGGGGGCGCCGTGATATGAGGCCGGTGTGGTGGTGGTGCTGAGGGATGGGTTGTCGTTGGTACTTGGAGTAGTGTGAAGGCGGGAGCTCTCCTAAGCTTCGGGTATTGATTTTCTGGGCGTTGGTTTTGTAGTTGGAGGTGGAGGTGGAGTTGTTGTCCGTTTGGTGTCTGTACATATGTGCGACGGGTCTAACCAGAAGAAAGAGCGTCTGATTGTTTTGGTGGTGTGCCTGGCTGTCGGCACCTTCGGTACGGCAGCGTCCGGTCCGCTGCCCCGGCAGGAGAGCTCCCTGTGTCGCCGAAGCTAGGTTAGCACTCTTGAAAACATCCCTCGTCATCGTACCCTCCCCGCGGCGCAGGTTTCCATACTGCGTGTCCCCCAACGGGGAGAAGTACGAGACGCACTAATGCACGTCTACCTCGCACGGAGGAAAGCCCATCACGATCGCCTGCCAAGAAAAGAAGGTAAATTGACACTTGACTGCCGGATTGGATGCGAATTGATTGCCGCCTCTCAGTGTTGCGTGCCTTTATTACCGCCCCCCTCCGAGCTTTGTTCATTTGTAGATATCTCATGTGGTTTATGTATTATCTGCCGTAGTATCCAGTTGCGTGTAAGCTCTGGCACCTTTGTGGTCATGAAGGCCCGAAGAACGTTGGACCTTGTTCGAACACATCGTGGGATTGATTGCAGCCCTTCTCGGTGTTGACGTCGACCTTCATCCAGCACAATCGCATGTCAAGCCATCACCACCACCCCGGGGATAAGTTGGCGTTACTCTTAAGACCGCACGCATACCCCGCTCTCCCCTCTCCCCTCGCCCTCTATCTCGGCTCTTGGGGAAATCGCACACCCGCGGAATGCTATGTTCGTAGTGTAGGCATACAGGCGAGTGGGTAGACATGTTACTCCATCAACAACGTGAAGACAACAGCGACAAGAAAAACAAGTGTGGCGATGAATCTGGCGGCGAATGCCCATTGTCGCGTGAAAAATCCCCTCCGCTTGGCCCACCGCTCGCTCTTCAACCCACGTGGGCGGGTCTGGTCCCAACGCTCACACTGACCTTTCCCCGAACCCAAATATTATTTATACCTTCATCGCAATCATCCAGGTGAACGGATCCTACGTGTGCTACTACCTACAACCGGATCATTTCGCGCCGCTATCGATGACCTGCTCCGTTGGATCCTGCCTGTACCAGGTACGGAGTTTCTTTGGGTCCGAACTGGCCGAGTTACCCGAGAAAAGCAGACAATCGCTGTGGCACACACTTGGGCGTGCTTTGTTTGACCTTGTGTTGTGTTGCTTTTTCCGTGTTTGTTTGCCGATCTGTATTGTGTCGGTCATGTGAGCTGACTAGCGGGTGGTGGAAACGAGGCCGGTACATTCTGTTGGCCCCCCGCAGTCCTCTTAAGTATCTAAACACGGTGGCTCTTGGGAGCGTGTGTTGTACGTGTCCGACGAACTCCCCGTGCGCCATGATCGATCCCGCGCTTCCCATTCGCGGGCGGAGCGCCGGTGTACCCGTCTGGGTCAAAGACGAAGCCCGGTTCCTAGACCATCGGAGCGCAGGTTAGCTTTGAAACTTGATTTGTTTCAAAACCTAGTCCCTCGGAGTGCAAGGTAGCTTTGGACGCTGATGTGTTGAAATTTATGATGACGTGGTTTGGTGGAGCTCAGGGGGTTGGCGAGGTGTTTGGGCAGGTGTTTCGACGTACCTGGTCCTTCGAAGTTCAAGTGGATTCGTCCTTCTGAGAGCACTGTGTCGGACGATTGTTTCTGTTGTTGGCAGTCAGATGTTGGCTTGCTATCCAGGAGGGTAGTCGAGAAGCGAGCAGCACTGTGGAAACCCTACCGTTTACGGTAGCAGGAATCAGCCTGTTGTGTAGGTTGCTTGTTTCCAGTGGCGTTGTGGGAGGCTGGCAAGCGGTGGCCCAGAACCATCTCGCTGTTTTGGATTTTCATCTCCATCGTGTAGCTTGTGTCGGGTGGCTGTCACCACGTGTTTTGTGAGGATGACATCGCGGCGGCAAAAGGGGAGTACGGCGGTACATTGGTGGCGTTTGTTGCGCAAGCACAATGATATTACCGTATGCACAATATTGGGAAAGGAGAGGTTGCCGAAAATAGCTTGGGAGGGGGCTCGTAGGGTTTGGAGGTCTAAACCGAGCGTACCGAGATTTTCTGTAGGGTATGGGAGCCTGTACCGAGCGTACCGAGACGATCGGTAGGGTATTTACCGACGGTACAGACAAATACATACCCTTCCGCACACATCCTTGTTTATTTCCTGTCGAAGGCATCTGAAGAGCTGGTCATTTTCACTAGAAGAGCCGTATTTTCACTAGAATACCGAACGGCCCGCTCTTACATGACCCACCCCGCCGATTTAAATGTCTTGCGCAGTCCATGTAATCTTGAGCGTACCTACCTTCGCGTGTGTGGGAAGCGGGGAGGCCTATGTGATTGCAGACGATGGGTGGCTTGTTTGGACGTAAGGTTCTCGATCCAACATGGCATGTGTGTGTTGTCGGTCTAAATATTGTGGCGACAGCCCCCCCATTTTTCGTGGTGAGACGTGTACTACAATCTTCAGTGTATGAGAGTACTACACTTTTCAGTGTATTATTTCGTACAACTACAACCATACAAGGTCACACAGGAGGGGGTGAACACCGGGGCGTCTTTCTTCTTCTGCTTTTTCTTTTCGTGCCCCACCTTCCTCCTGATGTGCGTGCTGAATATTGTACTTTTATGGCGAGAAGGGTCCAGACGCCCCTTTTCCTCGTCGACGGTGGTAACGTCGAAGTTTGGTACTCACGACAGCTTTTTTTTCAGCTTATTTTTTCGCTTTCACCCGCAAAGTTGTGAAAGTTGTAAAATTTTCACCCCATGGGGATACGAACTCACGATGTTGCCACTAGCGGTGTCGAGGGTACCACTAGACCACCGGGCCGACCGGCATGGTCTGCGTAAATTTCACGGTACACCTCGTGAAAATTCCCGCCGTTTTTTTCCCGCCGTGGTGGGCGGTCCCGGTACTGGCGGTAATTACCGCCACATTCGGTGGTACCGGGAACCGCCGAAGGCGGTACCGCCGAAAAACGAAGTACCGCCTACCGCCTAAAAAGTACTGCCATATTGCAGTACCGCCGAAGAAGTACCGCCATGATTGGAAGTACCGGGAACCGCCAAAGGCGGTCCCGCCGGAAAACGAAACACCGCCTACAGCCAAAAAAGTACCGCCATATTGAAGTACCGCCCCGCCTGCATCCGCCCAAAAAACTAGTGCCGAGGTGTACCCTGGTAAATTTAGAAAAAATGCTCGGAGTAACATTTTCGAACCCAGTCGGTCTCCGTGAAAACAAATTGTGGACACCACATCTCACCACGAAAAATGGGGGGACTGTTTCCAGAATGAAAAGGACGAAACAGCAACAACAATAGCCTCCCCCCCTCGGTGTTTGCCATCGGGATTGGGTTTTCGTCGCTTGGCAACGACGTTGTAAAACAAGCCAATTCACTTCGTGAGCTCGGCAACCAGGTTACCGTTTTTTTTTTTTTCCTCCGTTTTCTTTTGCGGTAATCATAATGGTGGTCGAGTAGAGTATGTTGTGCGGGGTCGAGAACCCTCACTCCGCGCAAAGGGGATGATCGCACCACGTTGTGTTGAAATGGCCAAGCATCCTCGAGGCAGTTACACAGTGCTAACAACTGTCTCTGGAAGTGAAAGCACCAGAAAATAAATTAAGTCATAAGCAGCTGTCATCCGTACGCAAGGAAGTCAGCACAAGATGCCGAACACCCTTACCAGGATGCAGCTCACCCTTCATGCGACTCGCCGAATACCTCACGGCGCTTCGCGTTTGGTGATGTGAGAGCCTGGTCCGGTGAGAACCCGGCGTGCTCCGTCCCGGCTTTGTAGGGATGCGAGGTCAATGGTCTAACGACTACGGCATGCACGACTATGAGTACACCCCCGCCGCCCGAAATCACGTCCACCCCGGTGTTTGACATCGGGGTTGCGTTTTCGTCGATTGGCAACGACGTTGTGAAACAAGCCGATCGCTTCGTTTGTTCGATTAACAGGTTCCCGTTCTGTTTTTTTCCTTTGTGTTTCTTTGCGGTAACCATAAATGGTGGTCGAGTAGATTGTGTTGTGCGGGGTCGAGAACGTTCACTCTGCTCAAAGGGGATGATCGCACCAAGTTGTGTTAAAATGGTCAACCTCGAGGCAGTTACACAGCAGCGCTTATTACTGTTTCTGGAAGTCTGTCTCTGGAAGTTGAGGCACCAGAAAATAAAAAATCATTCACAGCTGTCATCCGCTGCAAGGAAGTAAGCCCCAGATGCCGAACACCCTTCGCAGGATACAGCGAATCATAGAACAAGCCGAAATCAAACAAGTTTACTATTATATAGTCAGCGAGTGTAATGGTTTGGTTTCGCGGTTTTTCTAAAAGTTAGTCGCGCGGGGCTCACGCTGACTAGCTAGGTTGTTAATGGTTTGATTTCGACTTGAACAAGAGTTAGTTATAGTCTTCAGTTGTGGGTTCGAGGCCCATACTGGAAACTTTGTAGTGGTGTTTTCCTGAGACGCGTCTGAGATACAAGAACATTCTGCAGGATGTGAGTAGGCGAGTGATATGAAGCGAAATAGAGATTCGACGGATAGTAGCGCTGGCAAGGGGAGTCGCCCTCCCCGAAAGTGAAAGTGCCGGGGCTCACGAACTCCACGACTAACTAGTTATTATGAAGCCGAAATCTAACCATTAGGTCTAGTCTAATGGTTTGTTTTCGGCTTGTATAGCACCATCCACGCGACTCGCCGAATACATCACGGTGCTTCGCGCTTGGTGATTTGAGAGCCTGGTCCGGTGAGAACCCGGCGTACTCCGTCCCGGCTTTGTAGCGATGCAAGGTCAATGGTCAAACGACTACGGCATGCACGACTATGAGTACACCCCCCTCCAAACCACCCCCCTCCCAACCAAACGGACCCCGATTTTTCGATTTCAGTACATGTATGTAGGCCTTGTTGTCTTTATTTTTTCACGTAGACCCTTCTCGAACTCCGTGTTTGACCCAGCAGCCGCCGGCCAATTGCCCCCCCGTGAACTTTCCCATGAGTCAAGCTGCCGAATCCCTTGAGTGTGATTTGTGCAGGTACAATTGCGAAGGTCCACGTTGTCCCTTAAGCGATGAAATGCATGTCTTTAATAAACGCCAAGCACATATACGTCGTATAGTCACACAGAGTGACGTTTTTGGTGGGTCAGGCGGTTAACGCAGCCGAAGGCAACGAGATAACGAACCACACACACAACGCGTTATGATCCCCCGTCACGACACTTTATTTTTTCTTGGCCCTTGATCATGACCGCTACTCACTCCTGCACATGTGCGAATACCCAAACCCCGTGCTAGGCCTCTTCTCTCGCCTTACCACCCTTTTCTTGGAATCCTCGCCAAGAAACCACCCTTATTACAATAAAAGGAACGTCGGGCAGGTGGACCTCGGCGCCACCCCGGATGAGGTCCAGAACCATTTTAAGACCTGCGGCACGATCAACCGGATGGCCATCCTGTGGGACAAGATATCCGGAAAACCTAAGGGAAGCTTACAACGAGCTTGCCGACATGGACGTGTCGGAGAACGCCCCCGCTGTGGACAACTCCCCTTTCAAGCGCCGCAACCTCAAAATGTGAGTTCGAATAATAACAAAGTGCTCGTTACTAGGTACACGTACACCATTTTTTTGTGATAATCATGTTGTGTTTTCCAGGTGTTTTCTGTTTCAAGCCTGCCAACGGAAGAAAAAAAAAAGACGGTCTGTAGGTGCACGTCAGGTTTCATTTGCTCCGCAAAGAATAACGACGTGTTGCGGCGATATTTGACTGTGTTTTCTTTCTGCTTTTTTCATATGCATACAGACAGTAGTCTCTCTAGCTCCGGCGCGGAATATGGAGGGAGTTACGCAGTTCCATGATGTAAACACTTTTCCAAGGAACTTATTATGCGTCTCTAGCTAGCCTTCAAAGGGAAAACAAACGAGGCGGTCACTACAGACTGCAGCACGCAGTGTGCTATGTGCCCACCCACGGTTGTAAGAATAGATCTGAGGACTAAGTTCACCCAGGACCGATGCGGATGACATAAACCTTGAATGTCACACACCCATGCTCCTTCCAGCACAGGGATGATTATTAGACGTGAACACGTGAGCGTGCTCTCTCTCTCTCGAGGGGCCCCGTACTTGGACTCCAAATATCATACCACGAACTCCCCTGATCGGATCTTGTATCCAAGTGAGTACTCCGAAACGGCCCCCCTGCTTGATACAAGATATACGATCTTGAAGTCCTTGGTGAAAAATCTTCCAACCAACACAACAATACAAATAACCACTTGAGAAAGATCTTCTACTAAAACTGATGGCTACGCATTACACTCAAAGCGTCTCCATTAGTTTATCCTCGAATTCAATGTATCCGCCCCTGGATAATATCTCAAACCGTCAACACAATAGAACCATCCTCAGAAGAGTACCGAAAAATATTATCTGCCCACATCAGAAAAGCGCCGAAACGTCTTCGTTTACCACCACCTCTTCTTGATACTTTAGATTTTGACCGTTGCGACCCCCTTCTTTGATCGCCACCTGTGGAAAGGTAGACGAGCTCACCAATCATAGGGCGGCAGCGGCGCTGAGGGCCGGGGTCATAAACATGACCAATCCAAAAAAAATTAGCGTGTCGGAGGCCCTATTTGTTGCTCTACTGCTGCGCGGTGACCACCCCTATCATAGGCGTCCCTTGTGACTGTCCATTCGCTCATCTCCTGGTCGATTCCTGGACAGACAGAGTCACATCAAACACACAGCCGGCGTCCAAGTTCAGAGCGCACGGCAAACAAAATCGGAAGGAGGGGTGGGGGGCGAATGATTCTGATTATACGTGCTTCAGCAGTTCCTAAACCATGTGTACCGCACCGCCGTCAAGGGGAGATGGGTATGACGAGCCGTGGCCTCGACGCGCATGGCACTCACAAATGGACGAGGGGAAAGATTTCTTCTTCTAGAAGTTCCATCAGCGCTATATTGGCAGAGGCTCGAAAATGAGTCGTGACCACATGTTTCGGTACTATGGTACACGCTCCTAAATCAGAAGCACGAGGGTTGGTTTCGCTGGTACTGCGTTGATTGTGACAACTGTGATAAGGTTGCGTTCAAGGACACCAGACGTCCATTCAGATTTGCAGTTCTCACCGGGTATCAGTCTTTCTGTCCAACGTCTGGAGGCTCATGGGGTACCACCAAGTGGACCCAACGGACTTCCACAATGTGAGCCCTTCATCCATGCTCGAACAGCCGGGAGCACCACGTTTTCGCTGGGAGCACCATGCAACACGAACAAAGAGGCTCACACACGCCAATCGCACCCTCCTGAGGCCGACAGAGAACATGTTTGTCTCCCGTTGGAGCTCTTGCTTCGGTGGATCCGCGCCTACGGTCCATCACCCGGCTTGATCGCTCCTTCATCGCGAGCATCGAAGCCGAAGCTTCGCCAATCATTGCTCATGTTTCTGTCGGCACGCACCTATGTCCCTTTTTTCCAACCCCGAAATTCGGGGTCGGCGGCGTTGCGCCTTACCCATTAAGGCGTGTAAAATATATGAAATACAACTACGTGTGAAAGTAGCACATACTTACAGCAGGACTCGACTCGTCCCGACTCCTATGGGCCCAACCCTTCGCAAAAATATCATCTATCTCTGGAATCCTTTACCGTCCACAGATCTAAGACAGACAATGAACGCGAAAAACAAGACAAAGAACAACAGGCTCGCCAGAACGGGATTCGGCTCGCCGGCAGTCATGAGCCGCAACAGCTTTACAGAGAAGCGGCTCCAAAAATCTTTCGTCCCGACGACTAGTCCCGATCCAAGCGATGTCATTGTGTCGACCTCGCAAGCATCGGGCCCCTGCGTCTGCGAAACGGCAACAGGGCACCAGCAAACACAGCGGAAACAGCAGCAGCAGCAACAACAACAACAGATGGGGGTATAGATAAGCGACACCATCATGGATTTGAGCCGTCAAAGTTGTTGTCCTGCACGGTGCTCTATAGAACGGAGGACGTGTGACGCACCAGGGAGAAACAAATGGGCATGGGTAGCTCAACATGGGCGTCCACGGGTAGTGGCGCTCCAGCTCTTCCATCACCACCTCCACCGTTGCAGCAGGTCTTCCCACATTTGGCGCCCCGTCCTTCACCGTCGAATTACGCTCCGCTGCACTAGCATGCCCTTCATCCGGTGACGGTTCTCTTACTTCTTCAAGAGACACGAACGTATCGGACGCGTCATCGGCACTGGGTGCCCTAGCCAGATCTGACGCGCCCTCATCCTCCGCCTTATTGGCGTCGTGCCCCATGGTGGTCGCTTCTCCAGCGCGTCCCAAGGGACGCTGGCTGGGGACGATCTCCGGTACTGACTCGGCAACGGAGGCTACCATCGCAGCAACGGCTACACGAGGCACGCCATCTACCTGCGATGGTCCCTCCGCGCTCGAAACAGAAACGGATGGCTCGGGCCCGGGCCCTTGGGGAGCTTCGAGCGAAGAATCCACAGTCGGCCCGGCTGGTTGCCCAGCGGGCATCCCGCCGGCATCCTGCGAAAACAGGGTCATGGGCACGGTAAAATGAGTGGGAGGCGGCAGCGAAATGTCAAACACGGCGAGCTAAGGCGGGATGACCTTTGTCACCAAAAGCAGCGAGGTACACGAGCATGGAGCCGAGGGAAGCGATTATTCGGTTGTACAGTACACAGAACCACGTACATGCAATTCCAGCTATGTAGACGAATCGAGCCTCAACATGTAGCTTGTGGCAACCATTGGGCGGCGACCATTGGAAATACGAATGAACTTCTAACAGGATGTCAACAAGTCCGCACACGTCTCTCACCCCCACCACGTCTTTGGTGCCGGCCTTTTCGACTGTTTGAACCACCTGTGCCCTTCGGTCCACCTCCCGAGCCTCGCCGACCACCGTTGAGGGTGGTTCCGAACCGCTCGGTGCCTCGTCCGCCGCGCTCTCAGCCTCGGCCACTTCTCCGTCTCCCATTTTTTTGGGTCCCTTCTCAACCGCGACTGAGCACGACTGTTCCGTTCTAGTGACATCCGGGGCCGAAGCCTGGTGTTCCATGGTTGTGTCGTCATCGATCCGAGGGACTGACAAGCGTTCCGTGAGAGGCAATGAGGACGTTGTCCGATCGTTGTCGGTGCTAGGAGGCGCCGAGTCTACCGTCCTTGGCCTCTTTTCGGGCGCCGCTGACGCGACCTCCCTGAGGCATGGGACGTCATCTGCGCGCCGGCCCGTCCTTGCTACGGCAGAGGCATCCTCCTGAACACACGGGTGGGTTGTCGGCAGTGGCACGGTTCAAGCAGCAAGCCCGCCACGAAAAATAATATACTGCATAGACAACATCCTTCGACTACCTCCCTGTGCTGTAACATTTGTGATAGTATCTACGCCACTCAGGATTGAACGGCCTTGGAAACTGAACAAATCCTGCTTGGGTTCTACTACGTCCGCACACGGCACACAAAGGTGATACGACATGGCAATGGAGTTTTCAAGCGGGCACCAGAAGCGGCGAAAAGGAAACCTTAAACCCCAGCCTCAAGTTCACACTAGCGGGGGAGTGTAAACAACCAAAATATACGTGTCGTGTACTACCGCTTGCAGCATGAGCTTTCATGCCTTTTAGAGGAGTCAGCAAACGTCCGACCGTCCGCAACAGCACCAGACTGGGTCCCGAGCATACCTGCGCTCCCACGCCACTGCCGATGTCAATGGTGCCCTCGCCGACCAGGGCACCCGCAGCGAGTCCCGTGAGGGAACCCATGCTCCCCTCGACCTCCGTGTCGGGTCTCGTCACGCCCATACCGCCAGAATCAAGATGGCCGTGACTTCCTTTGTCGGCAGGCGATGGGTCTGCTAACCTCCCTGCCGGGTCTGCAGATGGATCATCAATATCACCTGCGCCAAATGAGTATCGTAAATAGTAACGGAGGAGTGACAAGAGGCGTTGACACTCACGGCAAAGAAAAGCAACATTTGCCGGTTGTGAGCGCAGGACAGCAGTGAATTCAATCTTGCAAAACGCCAACAACATCGTTCGGGCGTGAAAATCAAGCGGCCAGATTTTGGAAAAGTTACCTGTTTGCACGTAACGGTTATTGCTCGATCGGTCATACCGTCCGTCGTCGTTCGACAGAGAACGTGTCGTCTAGCCTAATCGCTCAAGTCCCATTACCCACCATATTTGGCTGCAGGACTTGCCCCACCACCACTGCGACTTACCAGGCCGGTCAACCGACGCCGTGCGGACGCCCACAGACGTCAGGCCTCCATCCACAGGTGCCCTGACAGTGCCGGATTCCCGTTGCTGCAGATCGTTTTGCTTGGGCTCTTGCTTCACGGCCGACTGAGCCACTCGCTCAATCACTCCTTCGTTCAAGGCAGGTATTGACGGCGGCTCCAACGTGCAAGATCTTCCTCCAGGTGCGGTCGGTCCCGAAGACGGGGGCTCAGCAGTATCGTCAACGAAGTCATTGACGATCCTGGATGCCCCCTGGTTCTCCAAGACTGAGCAATATCCACCCTGTTCAGCCTTAACCACGGCAGGTGCCTCCTCGGTGTCGTTGGCAGAACGCTTGGTCGAGCCGTGCTTGATCGTATCCACCGTTTTCTGACCGGTGGGAACATCTGGTACAGACTCCAGGGTCACAGGATAATCCAACACGTGCTCGTCGTCGTTTGCCACCACCGCCGATTTGGGTAGACATTGTCCGGTCGAAACCCCCCCAGTAGCAGCAGCAGCAGCAGCAGCAGCGGCGGCAGCAGCGGCAGCGGCGGCGGCGGCCGTTGACGCGTCTTCCGGAGTCCTTACTGTGGTCTCACGGACTGTTGCACTTCTAGCAACCTGGTGCAAACATGTGGGGGTGATCAGGGCGAAAGGGTTGGTGAGGGCTACGGAAGGGTCCAACGGCAAACGGCATGTCAAGTGCTCGGAAAGTGGCGAACACGGGGTGTAGTGCAGAACACAGAGAGAAATAAATAGCCACCGTGCCGCCGCAGCACAGCCAATGAATACTCACAAGCTACATGCGGTTGCCAACACCGATCTGTTTAAGTACACCACACACAGTGCAAAGCGTTCATGAGCGTGTTCCTTGCGGTGGCAAGCGCTCCTATGTCCGGGGCGATACGCACGTCCTCAACAAACAACCATCTTTAAGGAATACGGAGAACGAAATAAGCCCCTGCCTCCCTCTGTAAATTCAAACGGTCAAGTTACACTCACTTGGATCACCGGCTCGGTGATAACATGTTCGTGCTTCACTGCGTCCTTCCCGGGCCGTTGGTCAGCAAACGCCAAGCTGGTTTCCGCTGCGTTAATTCCCGCGAGTGTCCCCTCGCCGCCATCGACCACTCCCTTCAGCTTCATATTACCCTCTTTGTCTGCCGCAGATGACACTGAGACTTCCACCTGGCCTGATGGTGTCACCTCCGACGGACCAATGCCGGTGTCGACCGCACCCGACGACACCAACCCCCCAGCTGCCAGTCTGAGAGAAGCGTTGCCGCCTTCGGAGCTCCCTTCCAATGCCGTCGCAGTGACGTCATCAGCAGGGTGATCGCCTCCCTCTTTGGTCTCAACTCCAGCAGATGGCTCTGCCGCAGATGGCAAGAAGACACCCCCCTCTCTTGATGGCTTGTCCTCCGACGGGCCAACGCCGGTGCCGAGAGCACCCAAGGCCACCAGTCCACCAGCAGCAAGCCTCCGGTTGACGGAGCCCTCATCGCTTGACCGTCTTACGGCCGACGCTGTAGCGCGGACGTCATCAGCAGGAAGGTCGCCTGAGATCTCCTCCTTCTTTACGTCAACACCTGCTGGTGGTAATCCCGCAGGTGGCATGGAGGCATCCCCATCTCCTGATGGCTTACCCGATCGACCAACGCCTGCGTTCACAGCACTCGACGCCGCCAACCCACGCGCAGCGAGCCTCCGAGCGAAGGAATCGCCACCACCTTTTACGCTGACGTCGCCAGCAGGGAGGTCGCCCGAAACCCCGTCCAAGTTAGGCGCAGCATCACCAGCTATTTCTGGCGCAGATGGCTTGGAATCCTCCGTTTCTCCTGGTGGATTCCTCGCTTTAACAATGCCGGTACCGACGGCACAGAAAGCCGCTCGTCCCCCAGCTGCGAGCCTCCGGGTGAGAGAAGCATCGCCGCCCACTGTGTTCACACCATCCGACGCTGTCGTACGGTCGCTCGAGGCGACTTCCTTCTCGGTTTCAGCATCCGCCGACGCCTCGACGGCAACTGGTGTAGGCACCCTCACCTCTACTGATGGTTGTTTTCCCGGCCGATCGATGCCTTCATCGACAGCACTCAACGCCACCAACCCACCCGCCGCGAGGCTCCGCGCGAGAGAAGCGTCGACTCCTTCCTCGCCCACGTCGGACGCCGTCACGCTGCCGTCACCAGCAGGTAGCCCGCCGATGACGTCTTCAAGCTCGGGAGCAGATGGTGCGGGCACATCCGACTCTTTGGCCGGCTCCCTCGATCCACCGATGCTGGCACCGACGGCACCCAAAGCAGCCGTGCTGCTGGCGCTTACAGCACCCAACGCAGCCGTGCCGCTGGCACTGACAGCACCCAAAGCAGCCGTGCTCCTTGCGCTGACAGCACCCAAAGCAGCCGTGCTCTTTGCACTGACAGCACCCAAAGCAGCCGTGCTCCTTGCACTGACAGCACCTAACGCCGCCAACCCTCCAGCCGTGAGCCTCCGAGTGAGAGAAGCGTCGCCTCCTTCCACCCCCACGTCGGACGCCGTCACGCTGCCGTCCCCAACAGGGAGCCCGCCTATGACGTCTTCAAGCTCCGGAGCAGATGGTTCGGACACAGCCGAATCCTTGGCCGGCTTCCTCGATCCACCAATGCTGGCACCGACGGCACCCAACGCAGCCGTGCCGCTGGCACTGACAGCACCCAACGCAGCCGTGCTGGTGGTACCGATAGCCCCTAACGCCGCCAACCCGCCAGTTGTGAGCCTCCGAGTGAGAGAAGCATCGACACCCTGATCGCTCACCGTCGCGCCGGCAGAGATGCCCTCCTCCCGCTCTTTGGCATCCCCCGACTGCCTTCCCGTTGATGGGACGGAGGAGTCCGCCTCTCCTGGTGGCTTGCCTGGCCGGCCGATGCCAGCGCCGACGGCACCCAAAGCCGCAAGCCCACCAGCCGCGAGCCTCCGAGTCAGAGAAGCGTCGCCGCCTGCAACACGTGAGTCCGATGCCTTATCCCCGGCAGCGGGGGGGTCGTCATCCGTCCTGTCTTTAGCATCCACTGGCTGCTCTCCGGTAGATGGCGAGGGGGCATCCGTCTGCCGCGACAGCATGCCCGACCGGATCATGTCCGTGCCGATCGCGCCCACCGCCGCGGTACCGGTGCCGATAGCACCCAAAGCCGCGAGCCCGCCCGCAGCGAGTCTCCCGGTAAGAGACCCCTGAGCATTAGGCGACCGTCCAGGGGCGAGCTTGTTCTTGCCGCTGCCGTCAATGCCGCCAGCCGAGTCCCCCACTTTTCCTTCGCCCCCGCCTTCCGCCCCGTCGGCATAGAACCCAGCCGTGACGGCCGCGGCAGCGTCAGAGAGAGCCTTGAGCGGAGCTCGAGTGATCATGCTGCCTACGCTGTTGGACCGCCGGTGTCGCGTGTCGTGCGAGCGGCTGGCCGACCGCCGACCGGCGGCCGTATCTGCTGCCGCCGCCGCCGCCGCCGCCGCCGCACGAACAGGCTTATCCCCGCGGTGCGCCGCCGCACTCCTGCGAGCTGCAGCAACTTTTAATGCCGGCGATGATCCGGCGTTCTGCCTGATAGCTGCCGACCCCTTTCTTCGCGCCGAAGACGGGCCTCCGGCGCAGAGCCTGCAGGTACGCTTGGGCTCGAGGCTGCCCGAGCCGGGAACCGGTAGTCTCAACGGCGAGCAGGAGGCGCAAACGGCCTCCATGCACCGGCGGCAGCGGTGCGGGCGGCGCAGCCGGGTGAACTCGGCCTCGCAAACGCCGCACGACTGCTGAGACAGCGACGGCGCTGAAGACGCCACCGACGTCGACGCAGACGACGAGCTCCGCGTGATCGAGCCGTGGGGCACGCGAGAGCGCCGGGTGCGGTCCGGTGACCCGGCCACGGAGGCCGGCCCGACCACCTGCTGGTGCCGCTGTTGCAGCATCTTCCGCTGCCGCTGAGAAATTTCGGGCGTCGACACCGTGGAGAGCCGGGAGTTCACGGAGGAGGTGTCCGATTCACCGCCGGCTAAGGAAGAATCGCGGGAGGTGGCGCGCTCCCTGAACTCCGAGTTTATTGCCGCGGTGGGGCGGGGACGGGAGCGGGAAGAGGGACGCCTTCTGCCATCGTGGGGTGCCTCCAGACCGCTCCCTGAGCTAGGCTGCTGGCGCCTCCTGGACTGCGATTGCTTCCTCAGCCACTCGCGCCTGTCTGTAGCAGATTCCGGGATGCGCACCCGTGCCTGAGGGAGTAGAGCGAGAGACAACGGTAGCAAAAAAGGGCGATGGCCGTCACGGTGACCTGTGTTGGGGGTTTTGTCGACGGAAGAGTAATAGCGTGGAGTGCTCTTCATGTTCTCGGGTCCGCCGCTGTGTCGTGAGTGCAGGCAACCCGTCCAAGAAACGTCGAATATTGTTTCTTTCTTCGTATGCGGCATGCTAAAACACGCTCTTCGAGGGATCCGACATCGATTACCCGACTGCAAAAGAAATGTACCGGCGCCACACGGTGTCGTTGGTAGCCTCGAAAATCCTTGTAGCAGCAAATTCGGTGAAGGGAGTTATTTTCTTGATTTCGTGCCTAGTATGTCTGTCGAAGCGCTTGCTACTGCGTGCACTTGAAGGAAGGAACTGCCGTCCCCGCCTCGTGCTGCAGATCAAGGCGTGCACCACTGAACGATTTTTCTGTGCGATAACTTACGCATTGAACAGGAAAACCACTACAGTAGATCAAAACATCGAGCAAGAGTTTACTCCGTGCTCATGAAGTGGACCTCACATTTCACATTTTTTCCTCCACGAAACATGCTCTGTGTTCACGACCAAAAAAATGTCGCTTACGTGCACAACAAGCGAAGGCCTACGTGCCCTCACACACAAGCATAATGATAGTGCAAACAGAAGAAGCTCGTGTGGAGGCCGGGAGGGATGATGGGGGTGGGGGTCATGGAGATTTGATTCGAGGGAACATGCACGTCAAAACGCGCCGGAACAGTGGTGAGAACCGGAGCAAGCAACCGACCATTGCGCAACATCGCACACGAAGAGCGTAAAAATGTGCTTTTGGAGAACAATCCCATACGATGTGTGCAAGAGTGCTCATCAGAACTGTAACCGAGTCTGCTGCCACGTACATCCTCGCCTACATGGTGAAGTACTGCATGGTGCGTCCCCAAAACTGCAAAAATAAACAGTCCTGCCTTGCATAAGGACACCAAAATTAACGAAACTCCCTCGGAGAAAGTCAGCTTTTTCACTAGCATGGTGGTTCGCAGAATGTACACTTAACGATACTTCCCCGGCATAGGGCACAGTTTTTAGCAAAAAAACAGGTGAAACTGTGTCCTTAACAGAGGTTCGACTGTATAGACTGCTGCTGACTTGCGTCATCAGCTTGTTGCGTCCGCAAAACTGAAAAAAACAAACCCCATGCAGACTATACACCGCCATGTATTGGTATGGCATAACGGCAAGGAAAACGGGTCCTCTCTCACTCGTTATGTTACCCTGTGACCCACGCGCAGACACGGCAACGGCCGCCCGAGGGGGCCGCCAGCATGACTCGATCGCTCTGCTCCGTTCATTGCAGTCTCTCCGCTCTTATCTCTCGTGCCTCGGGCCGCGGTTTCGTGGTGAGGGTTGCGGTACCCGCCGTTGTTTTTTTGGCGTTTGGATCTTCGGCATCCAGCAGCAGCGCTGCGAAGCGCATCCATCCGCGCTATCGCCAGACCGTGGGTGGAGTGAAGCGCTTTTCAACAAGTATAAAGGGGTCACGCAGCAAAATCGTGTAGACTAACTCCTCAATACTAAACAGATCTATTACGAGCCCCATGCGAATGCAGAGAGATCCCGCCTGACATCCGAGTACCATGGCATCAAAATGCGAGTGGGAGAACCTCCCTAGTCTTGCTTCGGTAGGTTGGCTGTATTGCGCAACAGACTGGCATCGCAAGGAGTTACGTTCAGTGATGCTGATGCCAAATACGACATGCCCCGTAGACTTTCCCGCGGACACACCATGCGACGGAAAATTCGCTCGCAACGAAAGGCTTGGAATTATAATGCGCGAGACCACCAAGCAGCAGGGCGTTCGATTGGTGAGGGAGCTGCACTCGTGTGTGGGCTGCGTGGAAGCGAAGGGCAGGAGGGTCCCGGTGCCGCGGCGAGGCACCCGCTCGGCGATACCATTAACCTCGCCTCTATCCCCAACACTGACGTCAACGGACATCGCCTGCGGCTCGCGTCCGCGATCTGGGCTTCCGGTTGTTTTAACCGCTCTGCGACGAAGGCAAACCTGGGCTGGATGTCGCCGTGCGGAGCCTTCTTCGGACGGAAGCCGTCGCTCAACGTCGTCCCTTTTTTCCAGGACAGGATGATGAAAGTCAAGCGCGGTACCAAGGCGGACGTTCAACCAGTGCGCTGCTTCCGCATGGCGCCAACAACCGCTCGACGGCTACCGCCGTTGTTCGTCGAGTAGTTGTTGGCGCCATGCATGGAAGCAGCGAACTGATTGAACGTCCGCCTTGGTTGCGCGCTTGACCTGCATCATCCCGTCCTGGAAAAACAGGACGAAGTTGAGCGGCGGCTTCCGTCCGAAAAAGACCTCAAACGGCAAGTAGCGCCGTACCTGCGGCTGCGGCCGCACCGCCGCCGCCACCGCCACCGCCATTGCGGACGTACATCTACACCCCGCCCGCAACAGCGACCACCGCATCGCCGCCGCCCGCTTTCCCGCCCATCTTCACGGGATCCGCAGCTCCGTGGCCGAGCTCCATGGCGTCGTCGTCAGCACGACCGTCCACAGCAGCCGCGCCACCTCGTCTACCGCCGCCGCCACCGCCGCAGCCCGCCACCGCCGCCGCTCCCGCTCCTCCGCACCCGCCGCTTTAAAAACGAGCCGTAAAGGAGTTGGGGCGGGTGGAGACGAGGTTTCATCGTCGCACGCGCCGCGACGATGTACGGTTCATGGATGAGCTGCAACTACCGCCGTCACCGTCCGGTGGCGGCACCGCTGTCCACCACCGCCTTGGGCTACTGTCGATGATGGACGATGTGCGCTCATCTCGTCGCTCGCCACCCGGGAAGCCGTCGATCAAGGACGCGGCGACCCACCGCCTCCGCCGCCGCCGGATCCGAGCCTTGGAGGCCGTGGGAGCGGGGGGGCGCGGGATCTCGGGGGGGCGTGGCATCCGGGGGGGACGGGAGGTCGCACGTGTTCGCGACAATGTTCACCACCCGCGAGGGCGTTGACGCCGCCCTTCGCGCCGAGCGCCCGCTTAACAAGACTCCAGATTTTCCCCACTGTCTCGCCAGCGACCTCCGCATGCCCAAGACGTTCAAGAAGGCCATGCGGTCCCCAACACTCAAACGTTGTGGGAAGATTCAGTCGGTCGCGAGTTTTTTTGTTTGTTGGATGCATGAACTAGAGAACCTCATCAATTCCAAGAGGGTGTTTAACTGGAAGGCAGACTATTACGGATATTTGACAAAATCCAAGGCAAGACTTGCAGCGCGGGGGGACATCCAGAGCGCTTCGATTGATTTTGGAGAATTGTTTGCGCCCGCCGTGTCCGTGCCCTGTGCGCTTTGCTAGAAGCACAGACATGTGAGCAGAACCTTGACTTGTGCCATTTCGATATTCAGTAGGTACTTGTGCATTTACTATTTAGCAGCATTGGCATGTGAGTAGAACCTTCACTTTTGTCATTTCTATATTCAGCGGGCATTTGTGCAGTCTGACCTTGATTAGGATGTTTCCATGAGTCTACCGCAGGGTTGTATATCTGGTCTAATCGTGAAGCTGTGCAAGAGTCTGTACGGTTTGAGGCAGGCACTACGACAATTGCATGCGCACCTACCGAGGTGTTTGTTGATCATAGGGTTTTCGGAGTGTCTGGCGGATGCGCGTGTTTTTCGATTGATTGAGAGGGGCATGTGATCATGATCATCGTGGTCCACGTGGATGGCATTTTGTTGTAGGGCAGAGGGAGAGGTGTGATAAGTGTGGCGGGGATATAAACGAGATGGCCCCCGTGAAGAACCTTGCAGAGTTGAGGTGATGCTCCGCGTGCTTCTACGAGAGGGATGTATAGAAAGGGCTGTTGGAAGATTTCGCAGAAGAGGTTTGCCGAGGAGTTGGCAGCAGTACGATGTTGAGCGGGGGAAGAGTGTGCCCTTTCCTGTTAACGTGAAGCTCGCCGACTTCGACGAGAACAACACGTGCGCGCATGTCCCTCTTCGCGAGTTGGTAGGATCCCGGATGTGGTTGGCTATTCAAACAAGACCGGGCATCGCGACGCAGTATGAGCAGCTGCGCGGTATTGTGCGTCTCCCAAGATGGTGCACTGGAAAGCAGCACTTGGTATTGAAGGGTACTTGCGTAGGGTGGTTATAACAATTGAGTGGGGAGTGGTGACTGTAATGAGCATGCAAGTGGCCGACTACGTAAGCAAGGCGGCAAACCGGAGGTCGGTGTCAGGAGGGTGAGTGATGTGTGGGGGTGGGAGTAACTTCGTTTTCAAGGACGCAGAAGTGCGTTACGCTGCCCACAACGGAAGCAGAGTATGGCCATCGCCGACGTCTTGAAGGTTTGGTGTTTCAAGTTGCCAGCTGCGGGTATGCCGTTCATTCTGGTCTTCGAGGATAATGAGGGAGCGATTCCGATTGCGCACAACCCAATCACGAACTCTTACTCGAAGCACATCGATGTACGGCATCACTTTATCAGGAAGCTGGTAGAGAGGAAGGAGATTTCAATCACTCGTTTGACGTCGCAGTTTCAGCATCCAGAACACTTGACGAAGGCGATTAACGCTGAAGACCCACCGTGACTACGTGATGAACTTGGAGTGATTGAAGTGTTTTGGGGTCGAATCGCATTCTATCGCACAGAGAGAGAAAGAGAGAGAGACAAGATTAGACAAGAGAGAGATATAGGATCTGGTTGGTATGGTGATGTTTCGGTGGCTGTGTCTGGGATTTTTCTTGACTGTTTTGGAGGAGATTTTTTTGTTTTGGAGATGGTCTTGTTTTGGTGGTTGTGTTTGGGATTTTCCTGGTTGGTTTGAAGGAGTTGGGAAAGAAGAGGGTAATATTGATTGCTACCGAAGCATATGACGATGCATACGAGCAGGGGGGCTATTCAACATTCTCGTAGCATAAAATGACGGGTGATATCTTGGGAATACAACTACGGAGATTGCAGTGACGAGTTGAAGAGGAACGGGTTCTTTTACCGTTTTCCTTGGGAGTGTCACGGAAGGGTGTTGATTCATGGAGATTTTTTTCTTTTTTAATGACAGAACGAATCCATTCTGGATCTACAGAAAAGAGAAAGATAGATTTGGAATGAATTGATAGCGTCAGCGGCTGTTATTCTATTATTTTCTACGATTTCCCAACCAGCACACAACGATATCTCCCATGTAGGTAACGGACAGTTTGGTAGCAGTCGTGTATCTTTTCTGTATGTTATGCTGGGAATTTGGAGATTATTTTCCGTATGTTTGAGTGTTGTTGCGTGATTTGATACCGTGATCGATTGACGAGCTTCTGCACGCTCCCAATAATCTAACGAGTTTTGCTCATCTTCGGCCCGTCATGGCCGACCTGCCTTCCACTCCAAGCACCCAGAACTGAGCGACCCGAATTATCGATGAGAGCGAATTATCGATGAAAGTGTTGTGACGTTTGTACCTACGCAGTGTTTTCGTGATTAGCATCTGCTGGCATCACTGGTAAAAATTAAGTGTCAGGCTTAATTAGACCCTAAAAAAGCCCGTATCCAGCCGGTTTTCTTCCCACTCGCACCGTAAAGACTTCAACACATCCCCGTCGAGTGTCGTAGTCTATGACTGCATGACTTCTATATTGTCTTATTAACTGCTGTTCATATAACCATGGGATGATGCCCGTAAAAGCGCGCAATTGTTAACCAGTATATTCTGCTGTGTGTTTCTGTCTTGATATCTCGATGTCGCTCTGTATCTCTATCGGCGAGGCACACCCTAAGACAGCAGCTCGGAACGCCAGCAAGAAGTCGTTCCAGGCACGTACTTTGACGTATGTATACAAATATGCATACGAGACTTCCGTAGAGAACGTAGTATGCATACGAAAGTTGACAGACTGCCATCCCTTACACTTCTCTCAGGCATCATCGAGACCTTCAGAAAACGCTGCGCCCTAGGCACAGATGGCGATGAGCTCGCACACAATTCTGACAGATGCACGTGCTTCGCGTAAGAACGGCAGTGTACCGCTCAGGAGACGACGGCGGCGTATTTTACGGAACAACGCAAGACTGCAGAGTTGAAGTGTGTCATCCAGCGGGTGTCATCATCATGCGCAGATAGGTAGAACACCTGTTGATGGTAACATGAACCGCGATTGTCATAGAAGCATGCAGGTCTTCAAGTCGACAGCTCTCACCTGCAACAACGGGGCGTCGCTTGGTGGCCCCCTGGGATGGCTATGCAAGCCTGGGCCACGTTTGGTCAAGCAATCGGCTAAGGAAGCCAGTCTGTCCCGCTCGCCATGGTCATCGTCACTCATTTCAGGGGCACGCCCAACCACTAGGCAGCGACGGAGTGGTGTGCTTCGCCCCTAGCCGGGTGAGTACACTACAGAGGGGGTGCGGCGAGCTGGACCACGACAGACCGTGGGTTGGGCGTCTCTATCTCTCTCTGTATGGGGTAGAGGAACACGGTGCATGACGGGCAACGCGGGGGGTTCTGGGTTTCTGGGGTGACTCGATCCAATTACTGGTGATATCTTCCGTTTTTCATTTTCGATGACTACATGTATGATAGGCCAATCTTGACGGTGCCGCGAAGAGCCCGCCGCAAAGAGTCTGGGTCAAATCAAGTTTGAACATTTTTTTTTTTCCGCCAACACACATGTGCACGCACAGCAGACGCGCGATTGGCGAATCCTTCGTCAGTAGGATAGTTCTTGAGCTCAAATACAACCGCCCGGGGCCCATTTCTTAAAAAAAAAGCCCCATCCTCCTGTATCCAGTCTTGTGGACGAAGTGTTCTTTGCATCCATCTGAAGACACAGCTTCTTCTAAAGACGGATACTAAAAAACCAAAGCTGTCTTGAGGTTTTCGCCCCCGATCGTATTGCTGTTGAACAACCTCGGGTGGGTTGTTGGTGGGCGCATCCATCGTTCTGGTCATCAACGTCTCGATGGCAGTGTCTGTGCACAGCAGTATCGTCCTGTTGTTGAGTACTGTATCGGGTGCGCGGTCCTTCCTTGTTTGGAGCACGATATGCATACAACCATACATACTCCCGTGAAGACTAAGGCTGTCTGGGAGTGGAAGGGATGTGTAGCTTGGGCTTTTCGTTGTGTGGCCGTGGTCCTCTTTACTCAAGCAGCCAGCATCCACGCTAAAAAAACACCGCAATGGGCGATTGAGTAACTGAATTGTACTGGTGCAGCACCGCAAAAAGCTGCGCCCAGCAAAAAACCGTTGTCCGACAAAAAAACACGCGAAGGTTGACTGCTGGGTGTGCCTAAACGTATCACAGCCACACGATACTTGCATTACATGACATCCCGCAACGACCAAAGAGAGCCGATGCATAGGTCACAGCGGTGACAGATTTGAGTGTCACTAGCGCCCTGTACGAGACATGGCATACACACCATCAAGGCGATACACCAGCAGTTCAACCTCCGCAACGTTTTATCTACGGAGATCAAAATGTTCCTCAAGGCGAAGCCCCGTAGATATGACGTTCGAGATCCCGCCTACCCCTCCGCTCTCCCCACGAGAGTCCGGACCCCCCTAGTCACACATTTATAGGTCCGAACATGCATCCCTACCAGGCTTGCTATTCTCTGCCGGAAGCTAAGGAATGATGGGCGCCCGGTTTCAATAGACGGGGGGCAGGAGCAAATAAGAAGAGGCCTTCCACTCGGCGAATTCCTCGTAGCGGCTCATCGACCTGTCGGGGAAGAAGTAAAGGCATGACGGAAACGCCCCATGCAAAACCCAAACGACAAAAACATCGTTCGAAACCGGAAGTACAGAGGTAGGAGGATGGGCTCAGTCAGTGGCATACAACCAGTCAGGAGGAGAAAAGACAGAAAACACGTGCCTGAGTGATCGAAAGTTATGTCGAAACCACGCGTACATATCCTAGCGGTTGTATATCATCTATGAGGCCATAGGCATGGACTTACAAACAAACGCCGTCTGCACGCGAAATTCCGTCTGATTTTTTTCGATGCCGTAGTTTTGCTTTTCTTCTGTGGGGAACGAACAGGGACTGCACAGACTTCGGTTTGGGGGTGGGGTTCATGTGGTGATGTTTCTCCTGCACCCTCAAGGTCTTAAACTGACAATTCCTTCAGCAGTATCATAGCGCCACCTGTTATGGCACCGCGCATATCGCATGGTTACATAATTGTCACGGAGAATTACCAATACTATCAAACGCACTGAACCCGAGGGCTGTGACTTGGCACGTTCCCCCCATGATGCACTGTATGCGGTGGTCTCGGAACCGAGCAGCCGATGTTTCTTCGTTTCCGCAATTAACTTAGTAGAACAAAACACAACGAGACAGAAGAACCACAATCCAGAGTGTAGGGGGTTCCCAAGAGACCAGCGCGTTCTGCACTACGAGTTTGCAGCATCTCCGGGTCGTTATATATTTCGGAGACAAGACACAAAACCTCGACGTGCTCATCGGGCACGAAATTCTTGAAACCAAGCGTTGCTGCTGGGCAAGACTCGACTTGTCTCGGAGAAAAACTCCCTCTCGAATCGATGCGGGGTAGTGACGTCCATAAACCAACTTGTGTGTACTGTGATGAAAATTGGTCTTTTCAATCCCTCCTAGGCAAAACAAGTGTCAATTCACTTGCTTACCTGTCCTTGTTTCGGGCGTCCGCTGAGAACCTCAATACCAAGGTGGCGAAGGGGATCCACCCCCAGGCGGTGTACGTTAGCATCGACAGCGCTCCGTACACCATGAGCTCACCTTTGTGGAAGAGGAGGGGGGTACGAGTGAAGAGTCGCACGAGTGAGCTCATATGTGGGGGTGAGAGTGGGATTGTGTTTGATTGTCAGAGGAAATGCATAACTCCATCTCCGGGGTTGAATTGCCGTAGGTTGCAGAACAAAGCACACGCCACGGAGCGAAAAAAAAAAACTGAATTTCTCTGCTTCGAAGACGGTGGCGTCGGAACCGTCTGGCCGAGAGCGTTCCGGAAGTGATAGTTTGGCTCTGGCATCCTCTTACTCTGGAGCAATAGAGGTTTCAACGTAGGTCCGGGGGGTGTGGTATCCTATGCAACCAACGGCGGTCGTGTGCTAAGATGTTTTGACAACTAGCTCGCCTGATTTTTTCCTTCTGGTACGTAACAGTGCAGACCTGGAGCGCAGGTTAACGTGAAACTCTGCTCAAATTAAACCAATCATCGCAAACAAGCAGGTTTTTCACCCAGACCTGACAGCAGTACTGACCTACCACGAAAGCGTAAACGGTCGAAGCTGGCTGATACGCGTGAGCACTGACGAAACGGTTTTTTTAACTATACATACCCGGTGTGAGTGCAGCGACATACAATTTGCTTTTGCGCCGTCAGTACCGAGCGATCCACTGGAGGGTCGCCACCCAACAGGATTCGGGTGTGATTCAATTATGGCGGCGCTGCCGCGAGGCCATTTCCTAAAGGGCGGGAAACTTGGGTCGACCCAGCGGCAAACTGACCACCGAAACAAAAAAAACGGTATCCTTGAGGTGCGAGCATCGCAAGGGAAGGGATCTTCGCAACTCAGCTTCCTGCGCCTGCAGAAGAAAGGAAGACACTAAAAACGCCAAGGTGCCGCGTGTTGGATGCGGACGTTAACCGAAATGATCACAACCTTTGGTTCAACGGATCAGGATGGCTGTTTCTCACCCAGGTAGTTGGGGCTGCGGATGTACTTGAAGAAGCCGGTCGTGATCAGCTTCCCCGGCGCGAGCTTGAGAGTGTAGTACTTCTGGCAGTCTGCCCCTATCATCAAGAACATGCCTGATTATTAATGTCGTTCACAGCGGGGACAGACGCAAGAACGTATGGAGGACGGTTGAGTAGGTGGATCGAACCAGATGGCAATGCCCTTCCATGTATTCTTTTCACAATCCGGATGGCTTGATGTACTTCGACGGATTCCAAGAGCATTCTCATGAGAGAGGAAAGGGGGACAGTAAAGCGTGATTGACGGGATGGCGTGTCACGCAAAGAAAGGCTGACAAGACATCCCTTCGGGGGGGAGCATGTCCTACATGATCAACGCAGCGCTCTGGGGAGGGAAAATCCATGCTACTCCTATATTTTCGGTGAATTCCAAACAATTATGTCAGCAAGGAAGGGTACTCCTGTTTTGCATGCCTTTGCGGTTAGACCATTGACCACCCGTCCTTGAGAGGACTGACCACTGTTCCCACAGGACCGATCACCGATGGCCGATCGTTCCTTCCTACTTCGCGAAAGGTGGCTCTCAAACGTTTTTCCTATCAGTCCACTGGGGGGGGGGGGGTATGGTCGATCGGTCACGGCAGGGTCGTCAAAAAGCCCTCCACCGACACAGAAATGCATCCCGATCCACTATATATACAAGGCACGCTATTAGAACTTCGAGCGTCAAGAGCTAACCGGTAGAGAAGACCCCGATGGCGAGGGCTTGGAACCACGGAGGGACGTCCTTCCCGTGGTGCATCATTATCCACGGGATTGCCCAGTACAGAACGCTGGTTGCGACGAAGGCTGCAGACATTTCTCCGAAGGAGGTAGGGCCGTGGAAGTTCCGGTCCGGAAACGTCTGGTCCTGATTTTATCGTACATTCCACACGGCAGTTGGACCGAAACGGATATACAAAGGTACTGAGCGGAGGCAGTAGCGGTTTTGGTACTGTGAAGACAGCAACAGCAACAACAATACCACAATGACAAAAGAGGTAAGCGTGACGGCGGCATTGAGGAGACCACCACCCATCCGTGTTGGTTACGTTCCAGAAAATTTCAACGACCGACGTGCGAAGGCAAGTTCACCAGGTCGCCAGTGCTTGCAGCCATTTTGAACACAACAAGCAAAGACCTGCGCCGCCCTGAGCAAGAACCCTTCCCCTTGTTGTTCGCGCGCAAAGTGGTTTCGGAATCGAATCCAGAGGGAAGAAAATGATCAGAAGAGTACCCCAATTTCGTCTCTCTTTCCCTGAGTCACACAACCGAGGGTGTTGATCGCGGTTGCCCGTACGACGAACCGAGTTGTTGTTGTTGTCTTCACATTAAACTCGTGTCAGTTAGGTACGACGAACCGAGTACTCTGAGAAAACGATCAAGGCTCTGGGTATCGTGCTGGATAGGCCATCGCCGTGACTTAATCCCACGGTGCAGCAGCGACTTGCCAGACCTAACCATACTAGGGTGAGCCAAGACACGTCTCACGCATGTATACGGAACATGAACAAGGGGTCGAGGGGCGTATCCTCAGTAATATTTCTTGGGATGACGGGCAGAGAGCGTCAGCTTGGGGGCATTGTAGGGTTGCTTGAGCGAGGTTTTCTGGAATTTTCAACACATCCAATGCGCTCCTGAGATCCCAAAGGCTTTTGGTGGGGCACAATGCACGGCATTGGTGGTCGAGGAAAGACCAGGGTTTTCTAGCGTTGAGACGAAATCCAACGAGGGCAAGGGTTTTACTGCAGATATTTTCGCACCTTCACGATCCAAAGATATCCGTAAGACCCATGAAGCGCCAGGTAGGTCCATGCCGCCGCACTGCCCCACGTAACGTGTGCGGAAACCCGTAACATCGGGAGCATGCATGCGGAACGTCAAGCGCGCGATTGTTTGGTGTCAACCTCGGTGCGCATCGAGAGTCCGTACGAACAGGACCCCGCAACACTTGGGTGATACCCTTGTCTGAAATTCAAACATCAATAATATATCTAGAATTGCGCACACGACTCAACGTTTGTTTTGGGAATTAGTCGGTCACCGTTTGAAAAGTGACCTACTGCTGTACCTCCAGCAAGAAAGAAGTCGATAGATGATACGGTGATGACATCCCTGATTAGGCCCAGATATTTCTTCTCCAGGAAACAAATGTCGTTTGAACCGCGGAGGCACAGGAAGGTAGACACCCACACCCCTGCCTTCTCCTCCGGCGGGCGTCAGCCAATCGTCAACACAAGGACTCCTACGATCCCGCTGAGGCCCTTCTCAACGGGTTATTGGTTGGTGCAGCATATCTCTGATGTTACGCTACACGAAACCTGCACTCTTTTTATATTTTCAACATATCGGACAATATCGGACCTGATTCGCATACGGTAACCGTCGATTGACTTTCACCAGACAGAATCGGGAATCTTTCTTACTACGCACCCACAGAATCCTGGACAGAGTAGCAATGAATTCGTAGCGTTAGCGGACACACCTTTCTACGATTCAACATACAACGACATCTTCGAAAAAGTGCCCGGGGGCGCAAGCTTGGGGGCGGGGGATTTTTGTTGGTGGTCTGGTGGGAAAAATGCACGTTTTTCGGCAATGTCCCGAAGCCCGTTGCGTCGGGATAATACTCTTTGTGCTCTGATGCTCGAAAGACAAGTTCGTACGTCTGGTCAATATAAACGAGTTATACTGTAGGCACGCGGTGCTTGTACACAAGCGTACAGTAAAGCGGCCAAGGTAAAATCTTTGTCGCGCAAACTACGTACACGTAGTTGCGCGCAGAGATTGTCGCCGAAAAGATTTTTTACTTCAACCGCGGATCCGAGGAGCTCTGGATTTTCCTGGGGCCCAATTCAAGTTTTACCGAAACATTGCTTCAACCGCGACCGTGTGCGTACGCATGGTGCATTGTCTCCTGGTTCCTGCCTTTATCTACCCCGCCTCGCTGTGAATATTCCCAACATGTCCGTCCGTCCGCAAGAGATCAATCAACACACGCACACGGAGTGATGTACGCATATGTAGACTGCTGTTGTTTCGTGAATACATACATACCTGAAACGGGAGTACTTGAGCATGAAGAAGTAGATGATGGGGGCGCAGAGAAACTTGTGCAAGTTGATGCCGTAGGCGATCTTACACTTCCAGCCAGGGGCTTCGGTGACGCCAGCGGCGGCCTTTGCGGATGAGTCGGATCCCATGCTGCTTCTTCGGTCACTCACCGCGTGTTTTGCTGTCTCCCGCACTCTCTTCCGATAGCAGGAGGAGATGCTCTGGCCTGTACGAAACTATTGCTGCTGCTGCTGTACACCGTAAAAAAAAACGAGTGATGACTGCTGAAAAAAAAAAAGAGTGACGACTGCTGTGTTCCATCTTCCATGATTTTTACAATATTATTCCTAATATCTAACAAACCAGCGCCGTGTCCCCTGTGAAGGTTACATTTTACAATAAACGACATAACGGAGAGATTCTCCCCGACATTTTGTCGTTGACCCAGTAGAGAACTACAGGGGATGTATTGAAAAATGTAAGTTACCTATCTATCTATCTATACAGATGTTTTTGTACTTAGTTTTAAACCCTCTTCTGTGTGACCGTGGATAGTTGTACAGCAGTAGCTGTACAGTACGAAAAAAAAAAGCAATGGAAAGTGTAGTCATATACACTGAAAAGTGTAATACACGTCTCACCACGAAAAATGGGGGGACTGCCGTCATAATGAGTAGGACGAGAACAAAAACAACGACAGCGAAGATTCAAAAATGTATCCATTCATACGATGTAGGTCATGAGCCACGGGTGATGACTCAGTACTTGCAGTACTTGTCGTGTATCTGCGATGCTGTGCGATGTTTAAAAGGTTGATAGAAGAAGGGCGTGACGCGATGACCTCACGACGAGAAGCGGAGCTTGCCGTGTACCCACCAGCAGCGTGGTTATGCGTAAATTCTTCACATACATGCCGTCAATTATTCGTTTCCGCTGATGCCAATCACAGCAGCAGCAGCAGCTATCACGTGCCACGAGCAGTTTTTCTCCATGTGTTTCTTCAAGCTCTCCATGTGCCGTTCCCCTGGCAGTTTTTCCGGGGGTGGTTCCAATGATAATTGTTTGACATCTCGGCTCCCCCAGTCATCGCCAAAACGAAATGATTCATCTTGCTGCTGCCGTGGCCGCCCACGACCATGTGGCGCCGACATTCTATTATGCTCCGTCTTGGCAAAACATCAATTCCATGTCCGCCACCAGAGCGATACGAAAAGAAGGGTATTTACACTCTATCAGGGTTAGGGTTATCAGCAGACAAACAGCCGAGACAATATGAAAGGCAAATGGACGAAACTTACGACGACAAAGGGTACACAGAACAACAACGCATGGACCACGCCACCGGACGAAGACAAACATGCTAGGATGCTTGTCCCGAGACATCGAAAAACAAAAAACGAAACACAACCGTGGAAGCCTCTGTTCAAGCGATGCCCCCCCCCTCCCCCCCCCGCAACGCCTCCCTCGCAAACGGATATTACACCCTACAGATCACCGCATCAAAATTCAAATTTACAACAAAAACTCTGTGTGCCTTCTTTCTAACAGGGTGAAGGAATGCATACATACGCAAAAACAAACGCAAACTGCTGTTCAGTGTCACCACGGACTTCCTGTCCCTGGGAACTGGGGCTGTGTTGGTGGTGGGATGCTTCCGAACTCCTGGTGCTGCTGTTGTCTCCCGGAGCTCGATTCTCGTTCTTGCAAGGTGGGGATGGGTAGCGACGCCGCAATCGGCGGGGACCCCGACACACCGTCCACCCCACCACCCATCATCCTCTCTGCGGCAGACCTCGTAGCGCTGCTGCCGTTGTTCCAGCTAGCGTTGTTACTACCGAAGGCCTGACCAACGTCTGCCGGGCGATTTCCGGCCTGCCACTGCTGCTGCTGCTGCTGCTGCTGCTGCTGGGGATGGGGCACTCGTCCTAGACCTTGCTGCTGCATGCTCCCCGCTGTGCCCACCGACGGCGACAAGAACGCCATGCTCTGGGGAGGAGAGGTCGCCGCCCCCCCGAGGAGAACCGCCTGAGGCGGCGGGAGAGGGGGGGATGGCGAAGGTGATGGTTGATGCTGCTGCTGCTGCTGCTGCTGCCGCCGTTGTGGACTGCTGCCGATGCCGATGTAGCCGTCGCTTGCAACGCGCGCGCCCCCGCTCGCTTGCCGCGGAAACGTCCCCGAAAAGTCATTCTCGACGCGGCCGCTCAACGGTCGACCTCCCCCCGGCGCAGCCTGGCCGGCGGGGGGAGCCATCAACCAAGCCTGCTGCTGGTTGCCGCCGCCGCTGCCCAAACTAGCCGCCCTTCCCATTGGGGTGATCTTCCCGACCAGCTGCTGCTGTTGGTGTTGCTGTTGGTGTTGCTGCTGCTGCTGCTGCTGCTGCTGCTGGGTTTGCTGTTGTTGCTCAGGGGACGGTGGCATGAACGACGTCCCCTCGAGCTGTTCCCCAAGGGCTGCAAAC